TGTCCGAGGCTTTCTCGGACCAGCACCCCCCAAATCTGACATGGAGACTTATTACTAGTTACAAATGCTCAGCCTTAGTTTAAGCTTCTTCCACTAGCTCTTATACCTTCTAGTAACCTGTTCTCTTCACCTATTTTGTCTTGGGCTTTTACCTTTCTTTCAGTCTGTATGTCCCAATTTCCTGCTTCTTCTGTCTGGGTGACTGGTGGCTGCCTGGCCCCAGGCATTGCCCTCCTCTCTCCATTCTCTCTCAAGCCTAGATTCCTCCTCCTACGAATTTATTCTCTCTGCCCACCAGCCCCGCCTCTGTCTCTACTGTCCACCTAGTGGGCGATCAGCTTTTTATTAGACCAGTCAGGTGCCTTAGGCAAGGCGAAACAGCAACACGTCTTTACATAGATAAACAAATGCATCATAAACAAAAGCCACACACCTTTACAGGGTTAAACAGTTATTCTGCAATGTAAATTTAATACATCTTAACAAATATGCTATTCCACAACTCCATAATAGCAGTTAGGGTTACAACTTCAGAAAAGGGGGTGAAGAAGACAGGAGGTGAGATTGGAGTAGGCAATTTAGGACAGAAAAGATCCCAAAGAAAAGTTTGCTCCAAGTCAGGCCAAGTCTCAGCTGAGCTGGCAGCTGTGTGCCCTCTGATATGAGTGTGTGTGTGTGTGTGTGTGTGTGTTTATGTGTGTGTGTGTCAGGACACGTCTCAGCTGAGCTGGATGCTGTGTCCTCTGTACTGTGTGTATGTGTTTGCACGTGCACACCTCCCTGATCAGCTGTATGCAATAACCCTGCCTCCCTGTTTGACTATATCATAAACACATGGCGCTTCCAGGTTACTGCAGTTTTTCCACTAGGAGGCCCAACTTCCTGTGCCTGTGTCCATCTGTTTGTCAAAGTACTTGAAGCACGATTAATAAAATCTCAGAGAAATTGGGATTCATCCTCAAGATCATAAAAGCAAAGCAGCCAGCCACTGGCTCTAACTTCTATGTCAGTCTGAAATGGCAATCTTGCCTCCAAGGATCTCAGAATGAAACTGTGGCTGAGAGCTGTTTCCTCCCGTTTTATAATCCTCTCTAGGGCTGGGACTAAAAGCAGGCACCGCCCAGTGTCTGTGGCAACTAGTGTGGCTACTGGGATTAAAGGTGTGTGTTACCACTGCCTGGTCTGTTAGACTGACCAGTGGGCCTGTCCTACTCTATTAAAATAAAACTAGCGGGGTGATGGAGGCACACGCCTTTAATCCCAGCACTCGGGAGGCAGAGGCAGGTGGATCTCTGTGAGTTCGAGACCAGCCTGGTCTACAGAGCTAGTTCCAGGACAGGCTCCAAAGCCACAGAGAAACCCTGTCTCGAAAAACAAACAAACAAACAAACAAAAAAAACACAAAATAACTAAAATGCCACTTCACTTCCCATTGTCTAAAATAAAGGCTAAAGCTAATATAAGAAAAATTATATGCAATACGTACAATAACTAAATGCAATTTATAGAGGCAATAAACACATCAACAATATCTAGTCCATTTGCATTTGACAATTTCAGAAATTTCAGAGAAAATACTCCACATCTATCCTATCTTGGTGAGTCCAAAATTTTGTACCTAGTTTACTTTCTACCACAACTTGCATTGCCATCCGAAACTGTTTTTGATATCTCTCATCCTTTTATGTTTCTTTAGTGAATCTCTTTGTGTCTCGTAAACAAGGGAGACTATAACTATCACTATCTAGTCTTCAACTCCCTCAGAGGCCCAAGGTGGAAATATTAACTGAATAAGCAGGAAGTGCAAGCAAGCAACTTCCAAAACATGTGAGTGATGACAGAAACAGCTGGCTGCCTGGACAGTCACCCAAAGTTCCTCTGCAACGTTGGGGCATCCATCTTCAGCCTATAGGCCTAGCATATCTGACAGACTTTTCTGTGAAGCAGGATATTTTGTGTCCTGCTTGTTCGATTAGGACAGCTTGCTGTATGCCATCAACGCAGGGGCATCTTCTTACCCAGTGGCTTACTTTTGCCACAAAGAAAGAAAACTCCATGTGGAGTTTCTTCGGTGCCCATTATCTTCTCTGAGGTAGATTGGTGCTGCCAGGAGTAGACGTATCTCATTGTCATAAAAAAAAATTACCTATGTTATACAAACATCTTAAATGCCATATTCTGTAGATCTGTGTTTGAAGATGACCTGTCTATCGAAAATATATCTTTGTCTGCCCTTGAAAACATACCTAATGTGACTACAAGTTCAATTATACTAGGTGACTAACTACTAACCTGCATTTCCTTATTATCTTAAACCCTTGGTAATAATGTCAGGGACCAGCCTGAGATAAACCATTTCTCATACCCAGTGCAGAGTTGTGAATAAATGAGGCACACAATTCACACGACAGTATCGGGAGGGAGTTTCAGGGATCATTCAAATCCTGAAAATCTATAATCCTGAAATCACCCGCATTTGTTTTCCAAACAGCTTTTTTTTTTTTTTAAAGGAAACCATCCTCTGGTCTCTTTTTTTTTTAATTAATTAATTTATTTATTTAGTATACAATGTGTGTATGTGTGCAGGCCAGAAGAGGGCACCAGATCTCATTCCAGCTGGTTGTGAGCCACCATGTGGTTGCTGGGAATTGAACTCAGGACCTTTGGAAGAGCAGGCAATGCTCTCAACCACTGAGCCATCTCTCCAGCCCCCCCAAACAGCTTTTATATCAAGGTGAAGTGAGGGGGGCAGGTAACACAATTCCTTAGCATTAATTCCCAGGTAGCAGGGGAGTGACTTAAGTCATGTCCTGCCCATGCCTGTTTTGTCACATGGACTTAAAACACCTCTTCCCCAGGCGACCTCCTAATTTACAAGAGAAGGAGCAGAACAATGTTAGCATTATCATAACCTGACCACTTGGTAGGGTGGTGTCAGGATGTCTTACTGTCAAAAGGCCAGGCGACCACCTCCTCTGTGGCAGGTGCAAATTGCACCTTGTAGGTCGCTCAGAATTCTATGACTGCCAGACATAGTGGAATATGGGCCTTTATAATTCGGCCTCCACACTTCCCTCTTTTTTATTAATTTTAACAAACCTGTGCTTCTGCAACAGGACAGATGATCGTGTCTGTCTTAGGCAAAACTCCTTCATTTACTCAGATTTACCCACTTTTGGAACAGGCATTCTAATTATGCGAGTTCCTGTCTTGGGTATCTGGGGAGAAGAAGCTTCAAACCTGTCTCTGACTGCTGACCTCTGTGAACAAAAGAGATTGAGGGAGAGAAATACCTTTGGGCTCTGTGTGTCAGAGCCATACTTTCTTGTCTGGAGAGATCATGTTTTAAGGATAGTCGTGTTCCTAAAGACTATAGTCTCCTATTTAAAGGAGAGGAGGTCACCTGAGTCTAAAGTATTCCTTCAGGTGGTCTAGAGCACCTCTTAACAATTTTATACTGTATCAAAATCTAGTCTCTTAACACATGCATTAAATCCAAACATTTACAGGGCATGTCAAACTATTCTCAACATCTTATAAGCAGTTCCAAACATTACCAGGTCAATACCATAATTCTAAAATGGGAATTAACAATAAATTCACAATTTAATATATCACAGCTTTCTGAAATCCATTCTAATTAAAAGGCAAGAAAAGTTTTTTTTTCTGATGGGTGAGAGTCCAATGGCATTGCTGCTATCAAATACCAGTTCCAGTCTCTGAGCAGCCATTATACCCTTAGACTGCCCCTTCGTATGTGAAGAGGGTTTCAGTCACTCCTTATTTAGAGTGTTTCTCTCCCTGAGGGGAAAGTTTAGGTCTTAGTTCTCAGGTCCAATAATCACAATCAGTTCTGTGTCCCAAAGATGAAAACAGTCAAATGTTCAGCCTGCATTTCTAGTCCTCCTCCAATGCCAACAGGATTCAGACTGCAGAAAACTACAGTCATGGCGGTCATCATAGCAGGACCTCTGTCACATGTGGGTCCCTAATGTCTGGAAGCAGCTCAATGTCCCTCAGTGCAGAATGGCATCGGCAGGTCCCATGGGCTTTCTCTCCACAGTAACAGTTCTTGTTCTTATTTCCACGGACTTATTCTACCTGCAGGACCACATGTGGTTTTGATACGATTAATAGGAAGCTTATTCTAGAAAATAAGAGAGTTTTTGATTGTTTTCTTTCCTAAAACCTCCTCAGAAAAGTTTAACTCAGCAGACTCCTTGGATTCTTTCAAAGCCCTGTGCTACTGGAGGCTGCTCCCTACCCAGCGGAAAGCAGTAAGCCACTTACTTCTATTTGACATATCTTTTACTTAAATTCTGAAGTCAAGGCATTTTTAAAATATATAGGTTGGATTAATTGAGTAGCATTTATAAACCAATTGCCTTTTAACAGCTGTTGCTCCTCCCTCAGCCGTCTTACTAATTCAAAGGCAACACAATAAAATATACTATCCAGATTCTCTGTGTGTTTTCCATCTTTCCATGGAAGCTGTATCCATCCAAAGTCATTCTCAGGAATGTCTAGGGGATGCAAACATCACCATCCTATATGTTGACCCACTGCTGTCTGAAGGTAGAGAGCAGCCTCTTTACCCTCAGACACAGGGCTTTGAGAGGAATCCAAAGGAGTTTGCTAAATTAATCTTTTCTATCTAAGGGGGTTTTAAGAAAGAAAACACTCATACACTCTCTTATTGACTTCCTTCCTTCCTTCTTCTTCTTTTTTTTTTCCCCCTAGAATAAGCTTTCTATTAAATGAATCTAAACCACAAGGGATCCCACAGGTAGAACAAGTCCCTGGACACAAGAACAAGATATCTTTTCCACCTGAAGCAGTTCTTTCAGAGAAACAGTTAAAATCCTTTCCAGGTGGACTGCGATCCCAGGAGGCTGTCGCAGGCACAGTGCCTGGGACTGGCACTCAGAGGATGCTGAGGGAGGCACCCATTCTGCTCCCTACCCCTGGCGCAGTCCTGGGCCGGCCCTGCTCCGCGGGTGTCACCGGCGGTAGCGGTAGCGCTTGAAGTGGAACCACAGCTGGAAGATGCCATTGGCGAACTGGCAGCGGAAGCCATGGTGCTGCGAGTAGTCCCACTCGCCACTGACGATCTTGAAGGCGATGTCCTCGTAGGGCGGCCCACCTTGGAAGCGCAGGATGGCGAAGTCGCGGTTGTCCGCGCAGGCCTCCAGGAAGTACTCTGGCGTGGCTTGCTTGCAGATGAGGTCGGGGTAGAAGATGTTGAACTTGTAGCCCTGCACGATCTTGGGCGGCGGGTTGTCGAAGTCGTAGTGCGTCTGGTTGTACTTGTTCCACTCGAAGCCTGTGTGCAAGCGGTTGAAGAAGCGCGGCTTGCGCGGCCGGTACTTTTCTGCCCACAGGTAGGCGCGCGCGCCCAGCGGCATCTCCACGCTGAACTGCGCCTCATCCTGCCCCATGCCCTCTCTCGCGCGCTGCAAGAACAGCATGTCCTCGGCACTGTCGCTTGCATCGCCTGTGGCCTGGAGCTGCTGGCGCGAATGCTGCAGGCGTTGCAGGTCCTCCTGCGGCTCCAGCACGTGTGCGTCCAGCGGCAGCTCGTGTGCCATGAGCAGCCGCGGGCTGTAGAGGCCTGCATCGTAGTAGTCTGCCAGGCTCTCCTGGATCGGGTCCTCCTCCATCAGCACCGCCTCGCTCTCCATGTCCTTCTTCGCTTCCCCATTCCCAGGTACTGGAGCCCCCTTGGCTTCTGCGGGGTCCGCCGAGGGTCCAGGCCCGTGGATGGCCTTGGGTTCGGACTTGAGGATGGAGCACAGTGTCTTTCTTTCCACCCCCTGCTCCTGTTTCAGCTTGAGCATCTTTTGCCTCAGAACGTCCTGGTGGCGCTCACGGAGCCTGGCCCTGGCCATGCGCACACGCAGCTGCTGCAGCACGCTCTCCCAGTAGGCCATGTCCAGGTTGGGGCCACCTGCACGAATCTTGCCCTGGATGCCCTGGAAGATGACCTGCAGCTGATTGTATGTCTTCCCCTTGAACACCGCCTGCACATCGGAGCTGACCGAGGCATTGATACCCTCGCGGCGCTCCCCTTGGCCCTTGCCTGAGGCCTCCAGCTTGCAGAGCTTGGAGATCTCATCCTCCGTGATGCTTGTCATGTCCCGCCAGAAGTCCACGTTCTTACCTTGCTCCAGGTCCATGTACACCCGGATGTCCTCCAGCAGGTCTTCCATGTCCGCCACCGTGAGGCCAATGAGGAAGGTGTAGGGCTCATGCACCTCCACGGCCAGGTCGTCATCGTCCTCTGCCCTGATGTACTGGGCCAGCAGGTCGATGGGCTTAGCCCGCCTGGCTCGGATGCGGATCTTGGAACGCAGCTTGGCTTGCTGCAGGTGGAAGTTGTCCTCCTGCTCCTCCCAGGTCTTGAAGTGCTCGGCATCTTTCTCCCTCTGCAGCAGCTCCAGCTCCTGCTCCAGCATGGCCTTCGCATGCTCGTGCTCCAGCCGCAGCTGTTTCACCTTTTGGAGCTCCAGCCGGTTGCTCTCCTGGATCCTCTTGTTGCGTTCCTTCAGCGCTTTCTCGTCCAGGTGGCTGATGCCCTTCTTCTCCAGTGCCTTGTGCCAGATGAAGGTGCTCAGTAGATTGCTGTCTCCAAAGGGGTTGTCGGCGTTGGTGTAGCCCACATAGTCCTCACCCCAGCCCATCCTCTCTCGCTTCTTGTTCTCCTTAGCTTCCTTCTTGGCTAGTCGCCTTGCACGCTTCTCCTCTGGCGTCTCGAAGGCCTTGAGCAGCTCTTTTTGCTGCCTCTGCTTCTCACAGGGCCGCAGCCGCTGCTGCAGGTTCCCTGGCTGGCTCGGGTCCAGGTCAGCTGTCCCAGGGCTCGGAGAGCTTCTAGGGGATTCAGAACTAGATGCCCATGACCCTGGGGACCTCGAGCGCCTGCCACTCTGCGCGGCCCAGGAGCTGCGTGCCCGCTCCTCACCGGAGTCAGACTCTGAGGACTGGTCCTGTGAGTGCCACCGGGGTGGTCGAGGGCTCCTGCTTCGCCTCCCAGACCTTTGCAGCAGGTCTCCCTCTAAATCTGACCTGCGCCCCCGGCTGTGCCGCCTGTCTTTATGCCTCCCCTCGGACTCCTGATGCCACTTCCTGCTCTGTCCATGGCTCTGGCTGTGGCTCTGGTTCTGCCTTCGCTGTCTCCGACCCCTGCTCTCTGTGGACCTTGAGCGTGAGCGAGTGTTGCGACCCATTTAGCAGATGGCTACCTTCTTTATTTTCTACTCCTTTGTGTTCTTTCTAGCTTCTTTCTTTGTTCTTTCTATCCTATACTTTTCCCCCGCGAGTTTATAGACCCCAAGGTAGCACAATTAATAAAAAAAAACGCATACAGTTATTGGAGTTCAAACTGATGATCAGAAAAACAAAGCAGCCAAATCACTAGAGAGTTCTTAACTCTCCCAAGGCTCAGACAAAGGGGCTAGCTTTGCTGTCCTTGGAGTGACTGCAGACTGCTAGGGTCTCCACCAAACCTGGGACTGCGGGGAGACAGTCCCGAACTGCGGCCTTATATAGAGTCCTCT